GCAGGACGGGCGCCGCCCCCGCGGACGGCCGCGAGCAAGCGCACGTGCCGAGGGAGCCCGGGAGGAGCCGCGCGAGGCCGCCGCGGATCCGCGCCGCGCCGCGCCAGGTAGAGCGACTGCGCTGCCCGCTGCTCCGGCCGGCGGCCGAAGCCCTTCTCCCTCCCCGCGCCGCCCCGCGCCCGCGCCCGCCCCGCGTCCACTTCGCCTTCGGAGCCCGCGGGCGCTTCGCGGACCCGCGGCCCGTCGCAGCCTTAATCGGCCGCGGGCGTCGGAAGGGATTTGCCGCAGGCCATTTGGGCACTAATCGCACCGGATCAGGTTTCCAGAATCCCTTTCCACCCGCCTCTCTGCTTTGCGCTCACCGCGGTCACTTCTTATTTTCCCCCCACGCCGCTGTCCATAGTCCACAATCCACTTCTTCCCCGTCCAAAACGCGTCTGCCGCTCTGATGCTGCGCTCTATGTTTGTAACACCCTCTTCCCCTAAGAAGAGATACAGATTGGCCGCTCTTTAGGAATGTTTTCGCCTATAAGCAACAACTGGAAACATACTTTGTAGCGAAAACCCAGGTTCTGTCCAGATTTTTTTAAAAAATGTGTTACAATCCGTCTTTAAGTGTTCCGCAACTAATGATGATTCGGCATTATCGCTTTTGTGGCATTGAAAAAACAGATGGCACCGATGGAGCCTCTAGAAACCTCTCCGGGTTTGCTCCCCAAGTAAATCGGATTGCAGTTTTGCAGGGATATTGACAAAAGCCCCCCCCCCCCCGCTCTTTCCGGGATTATTCTGTTCAGCGGGGCCTTTGCAATTCAAATGGCTAGGCTAAAAACGCATGGAAGGATTTCTTTCCGTTTTCTACAAGTTTATCTAGGTTTAATTCCCCTTCCCTCGCAAAACGAGTTGCGTTGCTGACACACACACACACACACACACACACACACACACACACACACACACACACGTGTGTGTATCGGAGTGCTGTAGGCTTTCGCTTGCGCATCCCATGTTTTAAAATGGAGAAGCAGAATCCAGACTGATTCAGCAGTGAGTCCTCCTTCAGATTGCCTGATACTATTTAAAGTGGGGATCAGCAGCTGCCAGCTCTGGTCCCCCAAATAATTCCCTCTTGCCCTAACAAGGTTAAACCAAGGAATGCAAACAGGGTTGCCCACAGTCCTCACGCAAAAGAAATATTTGCTTTAAAAGTTTCCAGAGTTGTAGAAATAGCTGTTCAGCACCTAGTTGCACCTCTTTTCTCGTTGTTTCTTTAAATAATTCTCTTTTTGCCTTTGGACAGCAGTAAAGATATTCTATTCTATCAGGCTTTTAATGCTGGATGCTTTGTTGTTCTTCCATTTTAATGCCCCACAGAATTTATGGTCGGTGTGTGTGTGCTCCTTCTGCTTTTGGCTTTATAAGAAGCTTTAAAGAGATTTTTATTGTGCGTTGCCTACATGCCTGGTAGGCAGAAGTAGTGATAAATATCCATTGAAGAAATAATGATATAAGTTATTCCTGAGAGCCATAAATGTGAAGCTCATGCCATTGCCTGCTGCTTTTTATTGTGGGTCTCTACTTCTCAGAGGCTCGGCTTGTGTAGTAACACTTGGTGCCTTCCCACTGTTCCAGGCAGCAATGCCTAGCATTTCTGATCACGGATTGGAGCTGAAGCCCAAAACCTCTGGTAGATGTCAGACAGGGGAAGGCTGGCATAGCGAAACGTACTTCCTTGGAGTCCATACAAGTTCGACATCCCTATTTTAAATGCTGCAGAGCGGCAAGCAGAGGGAGAATTATGGGCACTGAAGTCACACACTATTTTTGGCTGGCCTTACAACCACGAACTTCTCATACACCAAAGCTGAGGGATCAGGTCCAACAAAACCATATCTCTTTAGCAGCTTCGGTTAACTAAAGTTACACGCTGGCACAATGTGGAAATGCTTGCCCACATTGTAACACTAACAAGTCTCAATTTAGCAGTCTCCCACTGCTGACCCCTTAAGCAGCTGCTGCTACATCTTATTCTAAGTCGAGCATTACATTTTCAAATGGTCAGCTTTTTTCTAAAAGCCGTAATTCATCTGGAAAAGCGAGGGAGGGTGTCTTTATTACTTTTCAAGGGAGGGTGTCTATGTTATACCTTTTCCCTAGGGCACCCTGGGAACTGAAGTCCTTTGAGCGATTACCTCTTAATAGAAATCTCACCAAACCCACCAAATTACAACTCCCAGGCTTCCTTGAGGAATCCTGACATGATTACTGCAAACCTGACATTTGTGTGTAGATGAGAACAGAAGAAAAGCCGTGCTCGATCAGACCAAAGCTCCATCTAGTGCAGCACAGGATGGCAAAACAGCAGCCCACAGGATCCCTCGAGCAGGACGGGTGCGTGACCTCCTCCTGCCCAAGCTCTTTAGAAGTTGTGTGTGCAGGCAGGCCACCTCCTGGGAAGGCTGTGGCACATAGACAGGGAGGCGAGTAGCCACCGAATGAATCTGTCCGATCCCTTTTTAAAGCTATGCCAATGGGTAAGCGTCACCATTTCTCATGGTAGCAAATCCCACACCATAGTTTAGCTATAAGTTTTGTGAAGAAGTACTTCCTTTTATCTGTCCTAAGTAGGTTCTCCATAGGATCGGCAAGTCTTATCACAGCACAACACTTTTGGTCTCAAAACTCCGTTATAGCAAACCTAGGGTAAAGGTAATGAGTTGCCCAAGGCCACTTGATAAGAATACAGTTTAGGAGGAACTTGCTCTCTCCACTCCCAGATTAAAGTCCATTTCTAATAGAACATTTATAGATCCATTTATAACATGTAAGACACAGTTCTGTACCTGTTCAAGCAGAAGGAACTCCTGTGACTTCCAGCCTTCCCCATCCTGGTGGTCTCCAGATGTGTTGAATTACAGCTCCTGTCATGATGAAATTTGTAGTTCAGCATATCTGGAATGTACCACCTGTGGCAAGTCTGCTGTAATTACACTGGTTTCAGTTATTTTTCCCCTAGAAAGTACTGGGGATTTTGGAGGACAGGCATGGTAATCTTCGCCAGAATTTTTCTTCTCCAGGCAGAAAACACCCAGCTCCCTCAGTCTCACCTCATACGGCTTTCCCTGCAATCTGGCCACCATCCTTGTGGCCCTATGCTGCACTGATTCCAACCCAGCTATATCCTTTCTGTAATGAGGGGCCCAAAACTGAGCACAGTACTCCAGTTGTGGGCGCACCAGAGTCGTATAGAGTGGCAGTAATACCCCTCTTGATCTAGAAGCCACACTTCTGGCTATGCAACCAAGGGTGGCGTTTGCCCTCTTGACCACCGCATCACACTGCTGACTCATGTTTAGCCTGCAGTCGACCAGCACCCTGAGGTCCCTTTCACAAGCGCTGCTCTCCAGCCACTTGTCCCCTAACCTGTACTTAGGACACCCATTCCTATGCCCCAAGTGCAAGTCCTCGCACTTATCCACAATGAACGCCAGCTGTTGAAGCTAGGTGGGTCTGAGGCTGGCCTGAGCTTGGAGGGAGAGACCACCTGAGAACTGCATGTCGCCACCTTGAGCTCCATAACGGGAGAAAGGTGAGACATAAATATGATCAATAAATAAATAGAAATAGTTGCGTTTGCTTTTCATCCTCCCTGCCCTCACTTGCTCACTTGACAAGCAGGGAACCAATGAGCAAGTGCACAGAGGCATCTAGTCCCCTGCCTCTGTGTCCTTGCGCTCTGGACCACAGGGAGCGGTGACTGAACCTGCAAGAAGGAGGAGGAGAAGCAAGTCAAGTGGGCCGCATACATGCCCAGTCCTGCCACCTTGGGTCCACACTTCGGGTGTGCACAGGGGATGGGAAGAAGCAGAGCTGTGCGGTGCACCGTGCTGGTGATTTCTGGGTATATTAGATGCTGTTACAGCGTACCTGCACTCCACTGCTTGGCATCATGTTCCGTGGCATTGAGAAGCCCACATAAAGTAGCAGAACGTCCTGGGAATCTGGCAGCACTGGTGCAGAAGTGTGTTATGTTTAAGCTCTGTGCAAGAGGCATCAGAAACGCCAACAAAACTTTATCTGGGATGAGGGGCATTACAAGATCAACAAAGAACAAGAGTGCTGGCAAAACCAGATGCCTGAACACAGTTCAGCTGTTCTGAGAATGTGCAGGGTATTTTCTGGCATCACCACCGTTATCGTAGAATTGACTGCTTCACATGACTTGCTAGGAAAAACGGTCCCCGAGAGCATTTCTCTTCATTTTGGAAACACGGATGAACATTCATTAGGGCAGAGAATAGCAATTGAGTCTGCAGGGTGTCTTTGGTAAGGAAAGGTGAAATGGGCACTCTTCATCATGGTTTACATTTCTGGAGGGGCCAGGACTGCTTCCTCTGCTTCTCACGCCATCAGACACTTCAGTCATCATCTAGTATATTACAGCTTCTCTGTGGCATGAGTTTGGGCTTGCAAATGCAGGTAGTCCCTGGGTTAAGAGCGAGTTCCGTTCCAGAGAACGTTCTTGAGTGGAATTTGTAAAATCAGATCAAATGAGTAAAGCAAATGTTTGTCTTAGTATATGCATATATTTTACCTTTCCATGCATATAAAACACCTCTATATTCCCTCAAACATATTAAACACAGTACTGCATTGTAATAATGATAATGATACTGCAATAATACAGGTACTGAAGAGAGAGAGGGAAAATCTATATGTATGTGGGTAGGTATACAGTACTGTAAAAAACAAGTAAAAGGAACAGTTCTTAAAGCAGTTTAGAATATTAATATCTTGAGGTAACAGTAAGCCTAACATTAATAGATGATGATGGAGATGGACCTGGTACTGGAGAGTCAGAATTTGATTGTGCTGCTGAGGGTGTGGAGGCAGAGTTATCACTGGGGTCTAGGGTCTGGGTGTCACGGAACAAAAAGCCATCAATACCGTATCTCTTGGGAACTATGTGGCCACTGAGAGACATGTTGCCAAACACATTGTGTAGTTCCCTAGAGATACCCATTACTTATCTATGTTGTAAGCCGCCCCGAGGCTTCGGCGAATGGGGCGGCATAAAAATGTTTTAATAAATAATAAATAAATAAATAAAACTACATGGCCATCACCAAATGCATTGCATAGTTCCCTAGAGATATTCACGGCTTTCTGTGAGAGATATTCATACAGGGTCTATGGTAGTCCACACGTACCTAAGTACTGGTGGTTCATAACCCAGACGTTCGTAAGCCAGGGACTGGCTGCACGTTGTTTTGAAACGCCACATTTTGTGTTTGGCTATGCTTGAAAACAAAAGTACCTAAAGTCCCAGTAGCATCAGAGAGTAGGTCTACTCATCTGTTTCTGGCAAATCTTTAAATGAACAACAAGGCAGGTCTGCCTGATCTCTGAGAAAGCTGAGTTCTGAATCTATTAGCCTGGGGGAGGTAGACCTGATGTTTGAACAGTGCCTTTCCATCTGCTGCTGAAACCCTCCATTCTTTCCCTGGTTCTCGTCACCCCTGTAATGGGTCTCGGGCACAGTCAGCATATCAATATGCTCTCTAGGCAAAAGACACAAAAGACGCGGATACCTTTGCAACAGGTTTCTTTATTAGAACAATACAAGAGAAAAAGCAAACTTTTGAGGCACAGCATAGCCCATGGCTTCAGCTCCAACACTTGCATTAAGAGGAGTGGCAAGGGAGCAGAAGTTAAAACCGACCCCCTCTGCCCCTCAATATATTGCACTGTGGCTGGGGCTGGCTGTTCCGTTTCTCAAGCAGCAGAACGG